TGTACTTGCCACTAAATAAGAATTATATTTTACTTAAAAAATAACTACATCCACTTTAAGACAAAATAAAGCAAAAAATGCTCTGTGGCTTATCTTTGGTTTCCCCAGTACTGGGGACTGAACCCAGGGATTTCACTGAGCTACACCCCTAGCACTTTTTATTTGTTTTTAATGTTGAGACAGGGTCTCATTAAGTTGTCCAGGCTGGGCTCAAACTTGTGATCCTCCTGCCTCAGCCTCCTGTGAGGAGCTGGGATTACAGGTGTGTGCTACCATGCCTGGGTTGTTGCCTGTTTTTGACAGAGGACTTCTTCATCTCCTGGACTGGTGGTGAATTGATTCAGGCCATGTTTAAATGAAGAACACATCACCTCTTTGTTTTGGTCCCAGGGATTGAACTCAGGACCTTGCGCTTGCATGGCAGGCATGGTTCCACTGAGCTAAATCCCTGGCCACCTGTTATCGTTTTAAAAAATGCACTCCAGGAACACTTTCCCTTGTGTTTTGATGGACATAATAAAGAAGATAGTTTTTATAAGTACAAATTTCCCAGATTACTAAGATTTCCCAAATTTTATTTGAATGGAAGACACAGTAATATTGCATCACTCTTAGCAAAATAGTTTCTTTTCTTTATTTGCTTGAAAAGTTGTCTGGCTGCTCTTGGGTCAAACTGAAGTTCATCAGCCTTTCAAAGCTTCCCTGGGGTGGTGTACATTTCCAAAATTTTTTCTAAGCATTAATTTGGTTAGACCAATCAAATAAATTAAATTGTTTGGCTTCTCTCTCTTATTTTTTCTTTTCTGTGATAAATTCTTTGTGATCCTGAAGGGCAGGAGGATATGGGTTTCAACTTAATGAAATTTCCTTGTTGGCTAAGGATCCCAATTTGTGCCACACAGGGAATCAAGGATCCTAGTTCCTCAGTGGCAGCAAGAGGCTCTGTGCCATGCCATCTTCTCACAGAAGAGTTGGAAAGCACACGGGAACATTTTCGTGCCCCGGGTTGCTATGACTAGCAGTGATCATCACACACGGTACCAGTTAGCTGTTGCTAGGTCCACATTACCCGCCAGTGGAGTAGCCAAGAACAGCAAACATCTATTGCCTTAGAGTTTCCGAGGGCCAGAAATGTGGACCTGGTGGCCAAGATGTCCGCAGGTTGTGAACTCCTCTGGAAGCTTAGTGGGGAAGGATCTGCTCCTGAGCTCCCTCACACAGTTATTGGCAGAACCATTTCGATGCCTGCTGTTGGAGAGAAACTTCTGTTCCTCTCTACACATGTGTCTCACAGGTCCCTGCATTGTGTACACTGAGGTGGGCTTCTTCCAGGGTGAGTTACAACAGAAAAAGAGAGCAACTCTGTTATAACCTATTATTGTAACACTGTCACTTCTGGAATGACAGTCTGGGAGGAGATCACATAGGTTGTGACTACCAGGAACAGGAATCGTTGGGACCCATCTTGGAGTCTGGCTACCACAAATAAGCTATGGTGGAGTAGCTTCTCTTCTTTAAAAAAAAATCTTAATTGCAATGGGGAAAAAACCCACATAACAAAATGTACTATCTTAACTACTTTTAAGTGTACATTTTATTAGTGTAAAGTATATTCACTTTGTTATGCAGCAGCTTTCTAGAATAAATTTTAGAGTGGTACTTTATATTTATTGGATGTTGGTGGATGACATTACACTACTGTATTTTTGTGCTTTTCTTTTTTTGGTTTGACAGTTATTCTTTCTATCTCTCTGTAAGTATATTGACTTATTGATCCAGTTTTTCACTGTACACATATCCTTTACCCCTGTGGTGTGAGTCTGTTCTCTCCCTCTCTTTCTCTCTTTCTCTCTCTGTGTGTGTGTGTGTGTGTGTGTGTGTGTGTGTATGTTTGCATGTGGGTCTCTGTTCCTTGACTTTGGGCTTGGCCATCTGGTTTAAGTGGCATATTGATGGCACGTGGGCAGAAGTGACAGTGTACCAGTTTGGAGCTTAGGGTAGGATCACATTTTTGTGCTTGTTCTCTTGTGGTTCTACCATTACCTTGAGAAGAGTTTGCCCTTTGTAGCTGCTACCCCCTGAATCAACCCCCGAAATGACACATATAGAGTACAGCTGAGCTCAGTCCACTGTGAAGTTGCCCAGCTGTCTGGACCATTAACTTAGAGTTGAGCTGTCTAGCAGAGTGCAACCTGAAGCAGCCAAGAAACCTGCAGATACTTGGGTGGACTCAGAACCATCCCCCAGAATATGAGAAATAAATTCCAATGCTTTATGCCACTGATTTTTTGCAGTTGCTTGAAACAAAGCTTTGGATAAGGGACATTCTGCCCTTCCCCACTCTCCCATCTGCCCCCAGGGTTCCTAAACATGCACACACATCACAAAGTGGTTCTCCCTCTGCATGGCATAGCCATAAGTCTTAGAGTGGATTTCAGTGGGAGCAATTGATTCCTGAGCACGGGCAGAAGGATAGCAGTCCCCCAGCATTGCTGATGTGCTAGGCATCTCAAGGGAAGTTCTGCTCCACATAGGGCATCTGGAAAGAGGCTGGTGCTGCCACAAATGTGCACCTTCCCTCCCAGGTAGAACCACATTCTGTAGGAATGTCTACTGAGTGCTCTGGGGCAAAGTCTGTCCAGGTGATGTTCAGTGTGAACGGCATTTACTGCTAACTGTGGATGGTTGGTAATTGTTATGGATTCAGGATGGATGGATTCATGATGGGCAGCAACCATGTTGTTTCAACTGGATGTGTTGATGATTAGTTTACGTCTAACACTTCAGAGGGTCATTTATAACATTTTTCACAGCCTTTATTTGACCCTTTTGCACTCCTCCAGGACTAGTGTACAAGGATGATTTATGTATAGTGCATTTCATCCTTGATAGAGTTCATGTTCAGAGCACCAAGCATACAACTGAAACCAAAATGTATTACTCTAATGTTAGTAACCTAACATGGTGCTTTTCCTGGGAGCCGGTTAACAGATATTTGAATAGATAAACGTATTGATTAAATCAAATGAAAGATGGAATTGGTTCTCTCGCCCACACATTGAAAATATGTTAGATTAGAGAGATAACAGTGAAGTAGGTGGCTCCTAAGACCCCTCTTTGACTTGAGTCTTTATGACACTTATGTGACACAGTAGTTGCCTGATCCATGAAATTCCATCCAGGGAGTAGAGTGGGCACAGAGGCCTCCAGTAGGTTTGATGCAGGGCACAGGACTTCAATACACATCTCCTTACTGTTCACTGTGACCTTGTGAAAATGGGATTTACAGGTGAGAAAACAGGCATAGGAAGATTAAAGGACTAATTAATAAATGATGAGTAGAGACTTTAAAAAATGCTGGCCTTACTCTAAAATCCCAAAGCCTTTCAGTTTTAATCATAGGGCCACATGATGTGACATGATTTACACTAGGACCTTAGTTTTAATAGTGTGTTACTACAAATTTGAGTTGAAAAATTCTAAACCCATATATTTTTACAGTACAGACTTTATTATGTTTTAAAAATATGACTCAATCAATTGAATGGAAAATATTTTTATAAGTGTAAGCTTACAACATTAATAAAGATTCTACATTCAACACAGAAAGCCAAAGCTCTATAGGGGAGGGGCTGAGCAGTCAGCAGAGGCTTGCCCCTCCGGTGAGCCACTTCATTACTTACTTTGTATTGCATTCCAATGTGTCATGTGTGTAAAATGGCCACAAACTCTTGCTCACGTTGCTGATTTCCTAGGGGATCTCAATAATAACTTACTTGGCCATTGGCAGGAAGTGAAATTCTATTAAGAAACCAGGAGCTTGAGAAGTAGCTCAGTGGTAGAACACCCACCTGCCACATGTGAGGTCCTGTGATCAATCCCCAGCACTGGAGAAAGATAGGATTTATTACAAGGTTTGTTTCAGTGAGGGCTGAGATGTGTTAGCTTTCACCTGTTACACTTCCTTCCCGTACCTCTTCAAAAGATGTAGATTAGGCACCCTGCACACCTGGGATCCTGGTACTCAGGCTGTTCATTTTATGTTGCTAGAATGGCTCATATTTTCATTTCTATATAAGCCTCTCTATATAGCTCTCCCTTCTTCTGAGCCCTCACCAGAATTGCCCTTAATGCTCTAAATATAGGCTTTTGCTAGCATTCATTTTCAACTCTGCTAGCCATTGTCCATTGCTCAGTTTCAAAGCCACTTCCACATTTTAGATATATAATATAATGTTGTAGTCAGGGTTTGCAAGGGAATAGATTTAATACAGATTTAATACACATAATCTATAGGATTATTTTATAAACTTCACCCAAAGATGCAGAAGAGTACAAGAGATCTTTCCCCATGCTGGAGACCTGAAGAATCCAGCTGAAGGCCTAAATCCCACAGCAATGCTCCCACAAGTCCAGCCCAAGGCCTAGAGTCCACAGCAATGTCTTATGCAAGTCCATATCAAGGATCTGCACTGGGAAGGCCCAAAGGCTAGTAGTGGAACCTAGAAAGTCTGCACTCATGGGCAAAAGGATCTGTGCCAGAAGGGTGAGGGATCTGTACTGGAGCCAGGAAGCGACACTCAAGGCAAAGACCAGAGCTCCCCCGAAAAGAACAGCAGCCATTCTGGCTGAGCTCCCCCTCCGATAAGAACAGCTGAGTTCGTGTCAGTAAAACCAGCCATGGAGAACTTCTCCAGGAAAATCAACAGCATAGAATCTTCCCTCCTGTTCTCCTTTTATGCCGTTGGCAACAATCTACAGGTGGGTCTTCCACACTCAGAACCACACTGACTCAGTTCAGCTGGACATCCGCATTCAAGTTGACCATTAGTTAATAACTACCACATATAATATATTAGTATTAAATTAAATGATACATACATTATATGTTATATATCATTATATATTATATTATATGTATTATATATATTGCTTAAAATGTATTTAGGATCCACATACACACACACACACACACACACACAAAGAGGGAGAGAGGAAATTCATTAGGGAAATTGGCTCTTGTGGTTACAGAGGCTGACAAGTCCCACCATACGCCCTTTGCAAGCCAGAGAAGCAGGGAAGCTGGTTTCATGGCTGGCTGAGGCTGGAGAAGCAGGGGAGCTCACAGTGTAACTTTCAGTTAGAAGCTGAAGGCCTGAACACATGGGGAGCCACAAGCACAAGTCCTGGTCTCTCCTGCCTGAGACCCTGGAGTTCTGATGTCCAAGGGCAGGAAAAGAGGGAGGTCCCAGGTCCAGAGGACAGGTCAGGAGAAGGCCTCACAAACGCATTTGTCATTTGCAATTTTGTCCTAGCAGCCCTCAGGCAGGTGCATGGTGTCTGCTCACACTGGAAGAGAGTGGGTCCTTTTTACTCAGCCCGCTAATTTGATGCTGAGCTCTTTCAGAAAAGCCCTCAAAGAGCCCAGAAGTAATGCCTTATTGATATAGGAGATGAAATATCAAAATATTATATCTCCCAACCTGTTAGATGTCTGACACACCAAGCTCATGTTCTCTAAAAATTGAAGAATGAATTTTATGAACAACAGAGGCTAAGAGTAGGAAGATATTTATTGAGAGGATGGCTCCTGAGAGGCAGGAGGGGTCCTGAATGGGTAGCTCAGGGGCCTCGCTTTATAGGGAAGTTTTATAGAGCAAAACCCATGTGGGTACAATGTGGGTTACAGCTATGATCACCCAATAAGATTACAAGTATAGTCACTTAGGTAACAGTGATCCAATTGGAAAATAAGTCACATAACAAGTGTGGATGGAAAGAACAAAGACTTCTTCTAGGAAGTAATGGGTCCACAGGTCTCTGGTCACCCATGTGGGTGACTGATGTCTATCTAGACTTCATTAGGCTTTTTAAGAAGTGAGCAGGCCTGGTCATCTTGTGTTTAACTTGAGGACTGGCCTCCTGCAGATGTGTCTCTGGCCACAGTTGTGATGTGTTTCACCTTTGTCCAGACTCTCTCCAGGGTACCCTCTCTCCAGAAGGTCTATATGTAAAGGCCATTGATAGGTTTCAGGCATTCTTGATGTGGGCATGTGGATAGCTTTAAGTCTGGAGGAGACAAGACCAAGGAAACAAGTATACATGGGTCAAAGAATAAGATCAACAAGACTATTATGAATATGACCAACAAATGTTTTTACCAGGAAGAGCCAATAATAGCCTTTTACAAAGAGAATCAGGAGAAGGTCTAGGGAATTTTAGAATCTGACACAGCTTTAACCTGTTGTTTAATTTCTTGAACAGTATTAGGAATATACACACAACATCCAGCTTTTACAATTGCACAGGTATCACCTTGTGCTGCTGTTGGGATGAGTGATGCCATCTGATTTTAGAGGACAGCTTGTTTTACTTCTTTATTTAGGAGAAAGAGTCCAACTGAGGTGTCAGTTAAGGCCTGCTGAGTATAGTTAGTCAAGGCCTCAATGTGTTGCATGACATCCTATTATCCTAGGGAAAGAACAAAGACAGAAGCCAAGTGATCATACCAGTGAAACATTTTTAAACCATTGATTTTGTAGACAGAGTAAGTTTGTAGTAAGTTTGTAGGTTTGTTAATATTTTGACACACCTGTCTTGTAACCATGCACATCTCAGCGTGCATCTCTCTATCCATCCAGGGGTGGCAAGGCCACAAATTGGTTTCACAGGATCAATGAGTGCAATGGGAGCTTCCAGTCTAGACTGTAAACCGGTTTTTGACCCATAAACCAGTTTTTTCCCATCTAAACGGTAAACCAGTTTTTGACCCATAAAATAACCTCTGGCTGCCTATCAAGGTTGGTTGAGCTTCCACAGGCATTACTTTTGGAACCACATTAGTGTCGCTGTTAGTGTCTGCTGCCAAGATTGGTCATGGTCTTGCTTGACCATGTTGCTTCCTGTTAAAGCATGGGACGTTCCCTTTCCCCTGTCTGGCGACCTTCTTTTGACACACTGTACAATTGTTAGTTCTTGTCCTCTGGGGCCTAGGTCTAGTAATCTCCCTGATCAGGAGTTTCGTTGACTCACCAAAGGTGTAGGATCTTGTAGAAAAGGTTCTCTCATGTCCTGGGTCCTTGTTGACCTTGGAAGGCCAGGGCCAAAATATTGGCTGTTTAATTAGCCCAGTTACCTTTTCAGCTCTGGTCTCTAAACTTTAGTTGTTGAACATCCAGAAGTGATCAGTTATACCAGTATGGTAGCATTAAGTTTATAGAGAAAACATAGTATTTTAGCATAACAATTATATTATCTTTTTTTGGCTTAAATTCTTTTATTGGTACATTTTAGGTATACAATTTGTTTACATTTGTCATTAGGTGCTTGTACCTGTACATGATGTATCTTGGTTCTTATTTTTTCCCCATTACCTGTGCACCCTTCACCCCCTCCACCCTTCCCTATTTACAAATACTTTGTTTCCATTTTTTCCTTTTCTCATAATTTTTCCTTTCTTTTCTTTCCTTTCCCCTTCCCCTCCCACTTCCCCTCCTTTGGAACTTTTCTTCCTATTTCGAATTATCAATTATTCATTTTAATCATTTTAGTCCTTATTTACACTTTCAGTTTCTCACACCACAGAAACTATACAGTACTTACCCATGTGTCCTATTTATTTTACTTTAGAGTATGACCTCAATATGCATCCATTTAGCTATAAATGTCTCTAGTGTCTCATTCTTTATGGCTGAGTGGTACTTCATTCTATAAAAAATTTATCCAGTTTCCAGTTGATGGGCACTTGGGCTGTTTCCAAGCTTTAGCTATCACGAACTGTGCCACTATAAACATGAGTGCACATATATCACTGTGGTATGATTCTTTTAATTCTTTTGGGAAGATACCCAGCAGGGGAAGGGCTGGGTCAAATGGGACCCTTAACCCTAGTTCTTTGAGGTATCTCCATACTGATTTCCAGTGTTTGCACCAGTCTACACTCCCACAAACAGTGGAGAAGGGTTCCTTTCTCTCCACACCCTGCCAGCATTTGTTATTGGTTGATTTCTTGGTAGCAGCCA